AACAGTAAGTTTGAACAGCTTTTCTCAAGGTGAATAGTACAGACCACATCCCAAATCTCCTGCTGTAGTCAAGTTATTCCCTCCCGGATTCCCAATTGTAGCACTACACACAGCTCTCTGCCTGGATGCCCTCCCACAGAGATGCCACTGGTCCATCAGGGTTCTTTCATCCTTCTGTGACTGTGGTGGTTTGAAAGAAAATGGTCCCCAAAGGGAGTGGCATTATTAGGAAGTGTGGCCTTGTTGGAGAAAGTGTATGAATATGGAGGTGGGATTTGAGTTCTCATTTTTGTTCAAGCCATACCCAGTGAGACAGATTATTCCTGTTGCCTATGAATCAAGATGTAAGAGATATCAGCTCATTTTCTAGCACCACATTTCCCTGCCACCTTACTTCCTTCCATTTAGTCCACAATAGTGAACTAAACCTCCTAACTGTAAGCCAGCCCCCCCAAAATGTTTTCCTTTGTAAGAGTTGTTGTGGTCATGGTGTCTCTTCACAGCAATACAAACCCTAGCTAAGACAGAAGTTGGTACCAGGGACTGGGGTATTTCTATAATAAGCCAGACCATGGTTTTGTTGTTGATCCCCACCCCCTGCCCGCCACAGGCTGTATTGCTTTGGAGCTTGTCCTGGCACTCACTCTGTAGACCAGGCTGGCCTTGACCTCACAGACATACCCCTGCCTCTGCTTCCTGAGTGCTGGGATTAAAGGTGTGTACCACCAATGCCCGTCCCAGACCTTGTTTTTTTGTTTGTTGGTTTTGTGAGGAATATGAATGTTGGAAGTTTGAGTTAGGAATGCAGTGAAGTGGTTTAGTGTTGCTTAATGGGCCATATTAGTAGGAGCATGGGAGACAGTGGTGCAGGATGTGATCTGATGAACTATGGAGGGTTGGCTCAAGATGAAGAATTTTAGTATGTTGTCTAGAGATCATTCTTGTGATATTCTGGTGATGAATGTGGCTGCCTTTTGCCCTTGTCTGGAAAGTTTTCCTGAGGCTAATGTGAAGAGTTTTGGATTAATTCCATTGGTAGAGGAACTCTCAAAACAGCCTAGTGTAGACTCTGTTGTGTGGTTATTAATGTTAACTCTGCTGAAGATTTATAAGGAAAAGGAGCAAGCTGAGCAAACAAAAAAACAAACCGTAAAGATTGAGAGAAGGGGCATCAGGAAGTGTATTGGTGTGAAATCTTATGTTCAAAGAGATAAACTGATCAAGAAATAGAATAAAGGGAATGGTGACCTTAGGGAAAGATCTTACCCAGCTACATTTCCACCTTGTGAAAAAGAATTGAAGAAAAGTTTAGAGCCAGGTGTGGTGGCATACACCTTGAATCCCAGCACTGGGAAGGCAGAGGCTGGTAGATCTCTGAGTTCCAGGCCAGCCTGATCTACAGAGAAAGTTTACAGCACAGCCTAGCTTTTCTATCAAAAACAGAAAGCGGGTGAAGATGTAATCGAATGAGGGGGTCTTGCTCCAGTCCTAGCAAGCAGCAGAACTTGGCAAATTTAGCCACATGGTTCTGGCAATTAGTGTCAAGCCCAGAATAAAGGAGTTATGGAATCTTCCTTTTTGGCTAAGGAAAGCCCAGAGGTAAGGTGTATGTTGGGGTGTCCCTGAATGGAGGACTAGAGAGGCCATTTCATGAAGCTGTGTAGTTAAAGCCTGGACTTCCTTGGAAAACCCAAGATGTTAGAGATGCCAGAGTTATGGGATACCTGCCAAGGAGAGCTGCCAGCAGAGAATGAAGCCAGGCAAAGGGAAAGAAGAACATTGCAGTCAACAAGGATTAATGGAGTTGGAGATCTGAAGAGCATTTTGACATCAGACATGGAGATGCATATTTTGGAGTTTGCTCAGCTGGTTTTTGGTCTTGCTATAATCCAGTATTTCCTCACTATGCCCTCTTCTTTATGTTTTTGGAACAGTAATATATATCCTGTGCCATTATATGTTGAAAGTATGTGATCTGCTTTTTTATTTTGATTTTATGTTGTATTACAATTAAGAGATTTCATGAATCTCAGAAGAGACTTTGAACTTTAGACTTTTAAATAAGTTTGGGACTGTTATAAGTTATGGGGATTTTGAGGTTGGACTGAATGCATTTTTGCATCATAATATGCCTACATATTGTAATGTAGGCATACAGTGGGGGCCAGGGAGTGGAATATGGTGCTATGAAAGAAAATGACCCCCAAAGGGAGTGGCACGATTAGGAGTTGTGGCCTTGTTGGAGTAGTGAAAAAGCACTGAGTAAACATTCATGATGCCCGGCTTCTATCACCAGCACCATGAAAAGGATAAAAGGGGGCAAAAGTACAAGGTTCCAGGCTAAGCATCCCTAATCTACAAACCTTAAATCAAAAACCTCCAGATTCCAAAGTTTGGAGCACCAATATAAAACTGCAAATGAAACATTCTACCCCTGGGTCCATGGATGGGTTTCAGTCAAAACACAGCTGTACTAAAAATAGTGTATGGACTAAAGTGAGAGACTTGTTCCTGCATATTTACTGCTACTCTATTCACAATAGATAAGAAATGGAAACATTCTGGGTGTGGTCAGTGCCACAGGTGCAACTGGTTGGATCTCACTACATATTCTAAATGTCCTTCAACTGATGAATGGACAATGAGTGGGGTACATATATACAATAGAATTATATTCGCCTGTAAAAAAATGAAATCCTGTATTGCTTTCTCACCATCCATAAGACATATAATTATCAAACAAAACGCTCAGTAACAGGTGACATTCAAGTGTTTATCTAGAAGGGTCCCTGTGACCCCAAAACAATAAAGACTATTGCCATTGCTCTAGGTTGTCTGCCAGAATTGGACAGTAAGTCTCTCTTGTTTAAGACACCATATACTTTGGTCACAGGACTTAGAGAAATCAAGGTGGTACTGTCCTGGAAGCTTCCTTCCTGGTGACCAGGTCTGGTATTAGAAGGTGCTATGTAAGTCAAGAGGGGAGAAAAGTTTTCAACAGTCCTACCTAGCTACAAATCCTTCAAACTAATATGTAAGGAGTAATCAACATCTGTCTCACTGGACTTAAGACTCCGCTCAATGGAAGAAGCTCAAGAATGGTATTGTAAACCCAGCCAAAAACCCATGGCTGAAAATGTGATAGGCCTTAAGTAAGAACCTACTACCATTTTGTTAAATTGATCCAGCCTTCTAAATACTTATTCTTACAGTCATAGATAAGTGAAGCTCTCACTCCTCATCAAAGAAACTTCCCCCTGCATCACATGGAAGAAACTATAGTGATTCATAACTACTTAACATACAGAGAACAAGTGACTTGGAATGTCCATTATTGAATGGCACAGGTATAACATCACCTCATATCTAAGGCTCAGGGAATACCATGGAAAAGGGGGTAGAAAGGGTGTAATGGCCAGAGGACTGAAAGGATAGCTACAAAATTGTGTCTTCTGGACATGACAGAAATGTTTCATTCAAGATCTCTTAACAATATGGTTGCCTGCACAAGACCACACTAATCAACATTACAGCATGGATAGAGGAAAGAATCACAAGGCCCCTTCTCTAGTTAGAGAGCTACAGGCAGATGCTGGGAGAGGGAAGGAGGGTCAGGTTTCTTCATGGATGGGCCCTTGGTAACTGCCCATGCCAAAGAGAGTCCCTGCACTCACATATATATGTATGCACATACATTTATATACATAAATATAAGCGCACACACACATATGCAATAGTAATTGTACTTAATAGAATATACACACACATGCACACATATACACATACATTATTAAAACAGAGGACATGAATTTGAGAGGTGGCTGTGGGGGAGGCATGGGAGGAGGAGGAGATACCAGTGTAATAATGGGTGAAATTCTCAAAATAAAATAGCCCAAACAGTCTATGAGGTATATATGAAATATAAAGGAATTTCATTGGGTCTCACACTTAAGATAGCTCATTTGATAAATGCATTTTGTTTTTTCTGATGTGTGGTTGCAGGGCCTTGGACATGTGCCACACATAATGCTTAAACATTTATTTTAAACGAGACCCTTAATGGTTTTCTTTGATTTTTCTAGTTGCTTTTTTCCTAAATTTTTTAAATTACTAAAATTTCTGTGAGGTAATAACACAAGGCCACCTTATCCTTCAATTCAGGGAAACACCAGATCTGCATTATGACAGAACTGAAGGGTCTTTTCCTGTGTCAATTTGCAATGACTTAATTGGTGACAACACCACAAGTTGTTTTGGTTCTAACAACATTCCACACCTGCTTTTGGGGGGTTCAGGGCTGAGTCACCTCACATTCAGTCATGACCTGGTTTCCTAGTTGTCTCTATAGATAGTAAACAGTGGTTGATTGACACATGACCATTTATTCTGGTGACATGGAACATGCCCTGCTGATCCTCCATGTCTCTGAACACAACAAGCTTGATGAGAAGGACTTTAAATGATAGATTAGTTTGTTATCTACTGTCTTGATTTGCTTCTTTAGAAGCTCAAAATAAAATCGTTGGGTATCTTGACATGTATATGCAAATGCCCCCCACACTGCATTCTCAATCAATGGACACAGCTTTTTTGATTAGAGATATTCAACCTGCAATTGTTCCTAAATTAATTTTCTTGATTGTATGGATGAGACTTGTTCATATCAGACAAGTACTTTACCAGTGAGTCACACTCTCAGTTCCTGGTCCGTGCTATTACAAATTTATTTACTTGTTTGTTTATTTAAACTCACTAAGTTGAGGATGACCTTGAACTTCTTATCCTCATGTTTTCACTTCCTGAGTGCTGGGATTATAGACACTCATCGAGGAGTTCAGTGTTGACTTTTATTTATGTCTTAGATTTATTATGAGGACATTTATACCTTGGGTTTGATTTTTGACAGTTTCACACCTGTACACACTGTATTGTGATGCCATTTACCCCCGTGACTAGAAGATATTTTCAGTGTCCGTTTTCAGTATGTGAAACTAACTCACCTGCATCTGACGTTGCTGCAGATGCAGCAAGGAGAGATAATACCGGGGCTGAAGGAATTGCAATACTTTCCACTGCAGTTGGCTTCTTCCTGGCCATCATGGTGGATACTGAGCCCTCGTTTCTACTATGTGCTGCTGTCTGGTCCACTTTTAAGTGGGGACTTGGCATCCCTGAAAAACAATAAAGGCCAGAGCCTGTAGTTGATTGAAAGAACAACAGGGTAAGCATCATAAAACCTGAACATGATCCGAGCAAATAATCCAACTGTCTGTCCTCCTTCAGACACACACACACACACACACACACACACACACACACAGAAATTGAGAATATATAAAGAAGAAAAAATAGCCATGGCTAGTTTGAGGGTGAGGTCAGGACTAAGGGCTTTCTAGAATGGATGGCTAGATATGAGACCGACACATATGTAATGAAACAGTAAAATGTGTTAGGTATCCATTAGCCTTCTGAGGATTAAGAAGCCTGTCTTTACAGAGGTTACACTGAATGGAGTGGGAGGGGTAATTCACTTGATTCCTACCCTAGTGAGGCTCCCATCTTACTTGGATGGGAAGACAAGACTATTTGAGAAGAAAACACTGTGCAACCAATTCCTGCACATTATTCATTCTTGATTCTGTAGAGATCCTAAAGCTATGAGATACGCATTGAAAGAGTAACTTCATAGAACTCTTATGGAACTGTGAGGCTGAGGGAAAGCCATTGTTGGTGGTGAGAAAAGAACATGCAAAATAATAGGTAGGGAGGTATAGGAACGAGATAGATAATTATCTTATGTGTCCACAATGGCTGAATGGATAAAGAAAATGGGGGTACACTATGAATATCATTCACAACTTAAAAGGAATGAAAATTTGTCATTATCAATAAAATGCCTAGACCAGAAATATGATGTTCTCCCATATGTGGAAGTTAAAAATTGACTTGAATATAGTATAGTGATGGCTAGAGGCTGAGAAGGATTATGGCAGATTGGATTTAACAACTGATTTGAAGGACTCTGAGTGTCAGGATTTGACAAGTATTATAGGTCATGTGATTAGGATGTTGCAGCTCCTGATAGACTATTATGGGCTATTCTGGACTTCTGTTTCTTCATCTGGATCCTGTTTCCCAGGTCCAGCATTTCCAGGCTATTATGAAGAACAAGTTACTTAACATCGTTTAATGTCACTTACCACTCAAGTTCATAGTTTTAAACTTAAGATTTTATGGTTTACTTCCTTAACATAAAAAGTGGGACAATGACAGAACTTTGTAAAGTGTGGTGAGTATCCAGTGAGCAGAAATGTTAAGCACTTGGGTTGAGTTCTAGGACATACTCCATTTTTTGCAATTTTCCTACCATTATTACTAATGTGTACCTATCAATATTAATTATAGATATGGAAGTAAATATAACCCATGACTTCCTCAGAAGCAATTTGAACCAGTAAGTATAAGTTCAGCTCTCTTTTCTGTTGTGGTTAAGGATTTATGAGCTCCTATCTATATCCCCAGCTGTAAAGCACATTTAAGCCTAGAAGGTTGAGTGTGCTTGATCCATGTCAAATGGCCCTCTATTCAGGCTTCGTCCATCAGTAGACTAAGACCAACAATAACAAATTGGGTTTTGCCAGTCAATCTTCACACTATTTTTCCCAACCTAACCAACCTGAGTGATATAGTCCCTTCCTTGAGCAATGTTTTCTCAATCACTATAGTGAGATCACCCTTAATTACTTTGGCTTCATGGCAATTCAGTGAGGCATGACCATGGCTATTACTATTTTCTCAATTTTACAGATGAGAGGAACACACTTTTGGGGGGCTTAAGGGAAAATTGAATAAAGTCCTCCTGCTCGTAGGTAGAGCTGGATATCTCCAGTAGCAAAATGCTAAAGCCAGGTTCATCCTGGTTCATTGGACCATACAAACACTGACCAAAGTTAAAGTCCATCACAGTATGCTTCATGCTGAGGACACATCTGGAGCCTTATTACACAACCGGAGACACACCTGAAGGTACCCTATGAGTGGGTCATGCTAATGTTTTGTTTTATCCCCTGCTACCCTCCATTATTGTGTCATAAACTCTTGCTTAAGATGACATGACTAATAAAAATCTCTGCACTTTTCTCTTCTTGCATTTTAGAGCATTTTGAAGACAGAAAGAGACAAATGTCAAGCTCTATGGTAACAGTATTACAAGGTATATCCATGAAAGATACACAAAAGTGTGCAGTATGTACTATTAGCAAAATATGAGGGTGTGTTTAAGATAGACTAAGCACAATACCCAGGGTAGTTACAGTCACTTGTGTGAACATCAATCCAAATAGCCAGCAGGGGTTAATTTAAAGAAGGAAGGATCAGGAAGAGTTCCCCTTTACTTCTTAGTCTTGATTTTACTATTCTATGGATACCATATTGTATGTCATACAAATGTGATACAGGTGTATGTTAAAGAAGGGGAAAGGTTTTACTCTGTAGTCCAGGCAATTCTGGAACTCACTGTGTAGCCTAATCTGGTCTACAACTCAGATAGCAATCCTCCTGTCTTAGCTTCCCAAGAGTTGGGATTAGAGGCATGAGCCACTACTTCTAGCAACCACTAATATTTTTTTTTTAGACTACAAACATGTATTAACTTTCCTTTGAAAAAACAGAGTTTGAGGGGAAAAATCTAGAAATATTAGAGCATGATACTGAGGTAGAATGTCCGATGTTCTTTAGCTTTTGGCTGCTAACAGGTCTGATTACAGTGGCAGCAGGCAGGGAACAAAACGAAACAAAGCCCCCAGTTTTGTTCACTGCAGGACCTCAATAGTATTCCTTCTAAACACACTTTGGAACTCTAAGCTATCAGCATTCGTTACATTGAACAACTGCTGCTTTGGAAAAAAAAATCACTGACAAGCCATCTTCGTATCTGCAGATTCAGGTTAAACAGATACCTTTCTATTTAAATTATGATGTGTTTAGAGACTGGAGTCAATACACAGGATTAGTAAACGAATATTTAACCCTCACTTGGGAACGAGCTGATATCCAGTCATTTCAGTTGTACCCATTTTCATGCAAATGTTTACAATCTAAATTAGTCTCAGCCCACATCATCTCATTAGAGTTGGTCTGATCATACCCCTGCTGGGTATACTTTACCACTCAAGTGTTTATGATACAGACTATGTTAAGTGCAATAAAATGACACTGAACACACTCTGTCACTCACATCATCACAGTTTAGCTTCTGCAAACACCCTAGACAATTTAGGAATTGTCAACTTTTGAAATCATATTTAAGAAGAGGGAATGGAAACTAGCCCTGATGTTTTCCTCTGTCATTTTTGAATCTTGAAGTGATGCTTGGAAAGAGTATACAAAGAGGAGACTATCAGATGAACTTTAAACAAGGGATATCACTTTCTGAGAGCAGAGGTTGGGAGAACATGGAAGGGGGGGAAAGGAGCTGCCCCTTTGGAAATGACATTGTGCAGGTAGCAAACGTAAATTTGTTTCCTTTCAATCTAGTGACAGCAGATGGTCCATGGTGGGACATTAGCAGAGTTTCTTCTCAGACTGGACCTGGCTTCTCTCTTTCTTCTTTTTGAAGCATGGAATTGACTATTTAAAAACAAAACAAACAACAACGACGACAGAGACCAGAGTCTAGCACAGATTGGACCACAGAACACACCCTTGTCTACATGGGAAAATATGAAAAGGCTGGGTGGTTTGTGTCTGGGAAGGGTTATCATTAAACTCAGGAGGCAGTCTGCCCAGAGAGCATTCTTGATAGATGAGTTCTGACTGTTCCTGTCCTTTAACATTTTTACGTTATGGCATACTAATGTTTGCATTTTTAGAGGCCAGTGTGTTTTTAAAGGAAGAAATAACACTAATAACTCCCTTAGTCTAACATCTGCCCATAATTAAGAGACAAAACTATGAGAAAAATTTAAAAGTTACTTATATAATAATGTTTCAGAAAAACCTGTTGACCCCTATTGATAAGTTTTTAAAAACTCTTAGTATCGAGAGACAGTCACTTGTTTTAAATGGTAATTTCTCAGACCACTTATCCCCTCAAACCTCTCCCTGTACACTGTGTTTGCATTAGGGACTTGATTTATGGATTCTTCTCCTGAGATGCAGAAACTGACTTCCTGTTGCCTTGGTTACTTTTAT